ATCGTATTCTTAAAGGTTTTTCCACAAGGGTGTTCTAAAGAAAAGATTAGGGTCTCTCCTTTTTCCTTTCTCTCTTATTTCAAAAGAGCCAGTAGAATTGGCTTAAACTGGTCAGCTAATTGTTTATATAAAATACTCTGAAGAATTATATTTAAAAAGTTTTGGGGCCGGCCCCATGGCCAAGCGGTTAACTTCTTGCGCTCCGCTGCGGCAGCCCAGGGTTTCACTGGTTCGGATCCTGGGCGCAGACATGGCACCGCTCATCAGGCCATGCTGAGGCGGCATCCCACATGCTACAACTAGAAGGACCCAGAACTAAAATATACAACTATGTACTGGAGGGCTTTGGGGAGAAAAAGCAGAAAAAAAAAAAGATTGGCAACAGTTGTTAGCTCAGGTGCCTATTATTTAAAAAAAAAAAAAAGGTTTTATGCTGAGATAACCGCCCCCTGCCCCCAAAAAAGGAAAGAAAAGGATAAAGAATTCAGTACCTGACAGTTGCTTTCTTTGAGAAGTGAAGTGAATTATTCGGTCGGTGCCTCTGCAGCAGACATTTCATGGAGAATATGAGTATTAAAACTAAAGAATCTCAATGTTAGGCAGTTTTTGCCAGTTGCCTTCTTAGCTCAGAGTAGAACCAGAACTTTTTGAGAGCCACAACAACACAGGTATCTTTGATTTCAGACACATTCTGTTTCTTCATCAAAATTCCACTTAAAATCCATAACACTAGATAATGAATAGCTTAGTTGAGTCACTAAGATTTAAACACAATGATAATTCTTTCAATATCTGCCATTTACAGAGCATTGAATACTTAACTGTTTGCAATAGAAATCCTCCATTATGCAGAAAGTTTGCACAGATATTAATAATACAGTCTAGATGAGGCACTGTGTCTAATGTTGAAGACGAGTTTTCTTCCCCAACACAGAGTTACAAAGAAGAGGAGACAGCTTACTTTGTTTTAAACAAGAGGCAGAATAATTCTTTCAGGAAACAGTTTCCACTGTTTCTGCTCACTTATACTACCTGAGAATTCTAGGAACAACATAAAAATCTAAGTGTATGCCACAGCAAACTTACACGCCATAAAAACAGAGTTCCTAACAGTCTTGGAATGGTCTATCTCTACCGTGATAGTGTGGCTACATTTGTCCTTGGGGTGCTGCTTTATTGGCTTTGAAGACACTGTAAAATAAGCTTAGTAATATGTTACTGTGGGGTGAAAATATGTGTTCCTGCCTAAGAATAATTCGTGTGTTTGTAATGGAAATTTAATTCATATGGTGTTTACAGAACTACTTTTGTAACTTCCAGACTTTCTAAACCATTCTGCTTAAAAACTGCATAAAATGCAATTCTGAAGTCTCTGCTGTCAGGATAAGTGCAAGAGGAAGCAGTGGCCACGTCTGCTCGCAACTGTAAACCGCTTCCGTAGCAACCATAGAACACGTCACAGGCTGCACTTTGATCCTGGTCTACACAGACCAGGTATTAACTCTGAAGTCCAGATAGGTGCAGAGGTAAGATTATTCCTATTCACGTTGAAGTGATTTGCTTTGTTTAAAAAAAAATGCAGCTATTGTCTAGCTTTCATTTTTCTACTGAGGACTTTCAATTAATCCCCTATTAAAATAGGGTTGCTACTCAGTCCTTTTTTTTTTTAAGGCTGAATTTCATCATTTATCTAAGGAGAAAATATGCAAAATAACTGGTCTTCTTAAGAGTGCAATATTATATTTTTATGTAAAAATAAAAATTAATTTGGGGGGATTATTTATTGAGCATGAAACATAATATGTATATGTTTGAAACACTTCATAATGTGCATGTTGTAGCAAACATTTCTGTAAATTATCACAAGCTCTCTTATCTTTGTATACACTGCCACTTCAAACTGGGAATAAATTTCATAAAAACAGATTTAAAGGCTGTTCTTTATACAATTTAAATATTATGACCAGACCTCAGATTGGTGGCTTCCTTTTTTGTAACCCACATAGGTTCTCTCTGTAGCTCCCCTATAAATTTATATCCCTAGAAAAGGATACCTTTCATTGCTTAATTGTGGTCTTTGTGAGAAACTTACCACCCTTACGTGGAGTTTAGACAGCAGTCCTAGTTGGGAGCAAACCACTCATTTTAAAGAAAAGACCATCTGCCCCTCCCCCAAGAGCAGATCTATATTGAGCCCCTGCTGTGCACCCGGCGCTCCATTAAGTGCTGAGGACACGTTGTTCCCTGCGCTCCTGGAGGTTGCAGGCTGGTGGAGGAACATGCTATCAGGAACAGGCAATGTGGGCAGTTAGAAAATGTGGCGAGTGCTGTGAAGGTAGAGTACAGGGTCCTCTGAGAATATAACAGGAAGAATTCGATTTAGATCAAGGAGTGTAGGAAAGCCTCTTGAGAAAGTGAAATCTTTGTTGAAACCTAGTGGATGAATAGAAATTTGACAGGTGAAGATGGGAGCAGATGTGTTCCAGACAATACATTCACAAAGGCCTGAGGCAGGAACGTCAATGAACAAAGGCCCAGGGAAGGAAAGAGCCTCCTGTATACACCTCGGCTTCTCTGGTGGCTGTTGCAAAATGGTGGGTGAATTCAACAAACAGCAGTCCAAGAACCCAGAAATATTCCTTTTTTTCTGCTTTATATCTGTGATATTTTAAGGGTTCTCAAGACTAGAGCATACCTGTTTCTAGGTGTCTGTCCCCAAAAGAACTCAGGAGCAGCCTCTGTTAGTGTAAGCCTGCCAAACTAAATGTCCCCTGCAAATCTCAGATTGACTCTTCCTTTCAACAGCGTTCATTGAATGCCGATTCTGGGCAAGCCCAGTGCTAGGTGACGGGGGAGGGGAGGGAAGAGGAGGGAAAACTTTCCAGCTCTGCAGAGCTCACACCTGGTGATCTGTGTCTTGCTATTTTGGATGGCTTGTTAAAGTTTTGAATCGAAGGAGAGCTGCAAGTTGTTCCATTCTGGTGCAAGATGGCAACATAGGAAGATCCTGAGCTCACCTCCTCCCATGGACACACTGAAGAAATCCAAAATCTAGCTGAGTGACTCCTACAGCTCAGGTGAATGAAAAAAACCCACATCGAAATGGGTAGGAGAGACTGAGATAATCTCGCCATAGACCCCACCCCTGGCTGGCAACCCACAATCAGGAGGGAACTCACAACTCCAGCTTCTTGCTGAGGCTTGAACCCCACATCTGGCACCCCAACTTTTACAACCTGCACCCAATCTACCCAGTGGGGCTTGCATCCCCCAGACCCATAAGGCTTAGTGAACTGAGAAAATTCTTAAAGGGCTCTCGTGGACCATGACTAACCCTGGCTACCCACAAGGGCACAGTGCAGAGGCAGGCCAGACTTTCTGTAGGAGAGACCTCTTGCTTATCTTAAAAGCTTCAACCTGAGGGGCAGGCATTTAACTTAACACACATCTAGAGGCCACTGAATTACTCTCCAAAGACTGTAGAGGCCAGCAGCTGCCACCTTTGCACTCTCCTTCTGCCTTGCTCCAGGTTGCTAGTATCTCCCAGAAAGGAGCCTGTGCACATGTCTGGGGCCCCAGCTTTTGCAGCTGCCACCCAGGAGATGCTCCCTGATCACCTGGCTCTGGGGGCCAGTGGGACTTAATATTCACAGGTCCCACAGGACTGTAATAAACAGAAACAGTTCTTAACCAGCTGCCCCTCCAGGGCACAGCACAGAGGCAGCAGACAGAAACTCCCAGTCTTTCCATGAAAGAGGCCTATTGGGTTATCTTCATAGCCACAGCCTGAGGGGCAGGCTTCTAATTAAACACACATCTAGGGGCTGACTGCAATCCTCTCCAGAGACCAGGGAGGCCAGTGGGTGCCATCTTTGTGCCCTCCCTCTACCCTGCCCCAGGTCACCAGTGCCTCCAAGAAAGGAGCTTGTGCACATGTCTGGCATCCTGGCTTCGTGCCTGCCAACCAGAGGACACGGCCCTTGGTAACCTGGCTCTGGTAGCCAGTAGGGCTTGTGTTCATGAGATCAAAGGGATGGTAGCAAACAAACAGTTCTTAACTGGCTATAACCCCAGGACTCAGTGCAGAGGGTGCAGACAGAAATACCCATCTCCCAGTCCTCCCCTGAAAGAAGTATATTCACATTAAAAGCTGCTGCCTGAGGGTCTAGCTTCCAATCAACCTGAATCTGGATGCTGACTGAGATCCTCCTCTTTGGAACACTGATAGGTCTTGGCACACCCTCAGCTACTGAGAGCCACTAAGAACAAAGCCGGCTGCTTGGACAGTCACAAAGACTTGAGAGACAATCGGAAACTAGGGCAGGGTTGAACAGTAAGTTTCATCTCCTGCACAAGACCACTCCCTCAAGACTGGGAGAGGTGGCTGCTTTATCTAATGCATAGAAACCAACACTAGGAGTCAAGGAAAATGAATAAACAAAGGAATATGTTCCCAATGAAAGAACGATAAAATTTCAGAAAAATACCTTAATGAAACAGAGATAAGTGATTTACCTGATATAGGGTTCAAAATAGCAGTCATAAAGATGCTCACTGAGGTCAGGAGAACAATTCATGAACAAAGTGAGAATTTCAACAAAGAGAAAGAAAATATAAGAAAGTACCAAACAAATCATACAGTTGAAGAACACAATAACTGCACTGAAAAATACAGTAAAGAGTTTCAACGGCAGACTAGATGAAGCGCAAGAAAGGGTCAGTGAACTCAAAGACAAAGCAGTGGAACTCATCCAATCAGAGCAGCAAAAAGAGAAAAGAATGAAAAAGAGTGAAGCTAGCTTAAGGGACTTATGGTACAACATCTAGTGGACCAATATTTGCATTATATGGATCCCAGAAGGAGAAAAGAGACAGAAAGGGGCAGAAGACTTATTTGAAGAAATAATGGCTGAAAACTTCCCTAACCTTGGGAAGGAAACAGACATCTAGGTCCAGAAATCCCAGTGAGTTCCAAATAAGATGAACCCAAAGAGACCCACACCAAGACGCTTAAAGTGTCAAAAGTTAAAGAGCTACAAGGTCAATATTTACGAAGGTGAGTAGGGAGGAAAGAAATTCAATAGTTTAACTTATGGAGGTTGAAACTATTGGAGTTCTTGGATTATCCACGTTACCCTTATTTTGCTGATTACCCTTCAACTATTCCCAGTTTGTTCCAAATTGTGGGCAAAATGTCCCCATTTGTTCCCAGTCTGTCCCAGTTCTTGGACAGCTGTATTATTTTTCAGTATACTCCTCAGGATAACACCGAATATGCTATGAAGCCAAAGCACTTCAAAATTTAACTGGCTTAAATCCTTTCACCAGGAAGACCAACTGAAAAGCATTAGCTGTTGGGGTGGGTAGAGTAGAGGGAGGATGAAACAAAGATTTGCCATATGAAATAACAATTCAAGATTGAGGTCTGCAGTGTGCTCGGTGTCCCGCGGATCTGTCTCTTGCTTCAACAGCGTTTGGATGGAACAGACCCCTGGGGCTCCCCTTCTTCCAGCCTCCGACTACCCTCCAGCCTCTTTTCCGGTCGCAGCCTTCGGACCAACTTCTCAACCATCCTCTACCTCCGGTGGGACCCACCAATACCGTTTTTTTGAGCTCAGCTCCTTATTGCCGATGAAGCATGAGCTCCCACATTCGTCAGAATTATTCTACCGAAGTGGAGGCTGCCATCAACCGCCTGGTCAACTTGTACCTACGGGCCTCTTACACCTACCTCTCTCTGGGCTTCTATTTCAACCGCGATGATGTGGCTCTGGAGGGCGTATGCCACTTCTTCTGCGAGTTGGCGGAGGAGAAGCGCGAATGTGCCAAGTGTCTCTTGAAGATGCAAAACCAGCATGGTGACCACGCCCTCTTCCAGGACTTGCAGAAGCCGTCCCAAGATGAGTGGGGTACAACCCTGGATGCCATGAAAGCCGCCGTTGTCCTGGAGAAGAGCCTGAACCAGGCCCTTTTGGATCTGCATGCCCTGGGTTCTGCCCACGCAGACCCCCATCTCTGTGACTTCTTGGAGAGCCACTTCCTAGACGAGGAGGTGAAACTCATCAAGAAGATGGGCGACAATCTCACCAACATCCAGAGGCTCGTTGGCCCCCAAGCTGGGCTGGGCGAGTGTCTCTTTGAAAGGCTCACCCTCAAGCATGACTAGGAGCCTCCAGAGTCCAGCGGCCTTTGAGGGGGCCCCTCTGGCATCCCCCTGGTGTCGGAGTTTCTGCCTGAGCCCATCTCCCTGCAGCCACGAGAGAGAGCTTTTTAACTACCCTGGAGCCCTCTGCCCACGCCGTGGACCAAATGGAAACAATAAAGCTTTTTGCAAAAAAAAAAAAAAAAAGATTGAGGTCAAAGGGAAGCAAAAGAGTTTTAGGTTCAGCACAAACTGGTATTTTGGAGTATCGTACAAAGAATGTCACATTACATACAATATTTATCAGATATTTTCCCCAGGTTATGTCCAATTTTAAACTCCACAATTAAAGAAGCAGCTACATTTGCCAATACAACATATATGCACTTGGGTGTACATTGAGTTGGGAAGGAAGTGCCACTAATTTTATTGTGTGCTCTATGACCCGAACGGAAAAATATGTCCTACCATTTTGGAAACACTGGATCGCAACTCAGCTATTTGAGAGAAATTAAATAATACAATGTGTCCTCTGAGGCCAAAATGGTTAGAAAATCATTTGAGACTGGGCTACCATATTCTTGCTCAAGTGCTGATCTCGTTCTTTCATGAACAAAGTTAAAGAAAGATGAGTTTAGAAAAGATTGTTTGTGGCAAAGTTTGGTTCATTTCAAAGCGAATTAAACTGGTCTTACCCAAACTTCTGAAGGCTGATAACAATAATTTCATTCTCAGATTTTAATTTTGTTAAAAGAGCTTTAAAAATCCTGGGAATCCAGTTTTAAGCATTTAGAAAAAAGACTATGTTTTCTGACCTTTTAGGAAAAATTAAGCTATAATTTTCATACTTGTTGATATGACCTAAAAACAAATGGTTAATTAGTTAATTTCATTATGTACTTTCTATAGATAATATTCTACATACAGTCATGAACTGCATAACAACATTTGAGTCAACAATGGACTGAATGTATGATGGTGGTCCCATAAAATTAGTACCATATGGCCTTAGGTGTGTAGTAGGCTATACCATCTAGGTTTGTCTAAGTACTGTAGGAGAGGAAGACATTTCCCTCCATGCTTCTAGGTTCTTCTGAGTGGTCTAAGAATTAAATTGATATCAGACAGATTAACAGCAGAAAAACAAACAGAAGTTTAATAATATGTATACATGGGCGAAACCCAAGAAAACTGAGTAATTCATCAAAATGGCTGAAGCTCTCACCTTAAATGCCATCCTCAGCTAAAGACAGAAGATGTTGGGAGTGGGGAGAGTCAGGCTTCAAAGAGAAGGACAGCAATTCACAGGCAGGTGGAAAGGAGCAAATGTTTGGGAAACAAGTGTTTGGCAGCACAGAAACAGAAGAGCAGGGGAGGACAACAAACAGCCTTCTCCAGGTTCCTCCCTGTCTATCACCTGGTTCATATTACGCTAAGGTGAGAGCTCACTTCCTGAGACAGGTTTTTTTAATCTGAATTCTTTTAGGCATTAACGGTGAAAGTAACAAGAAGAACCTTCTGAGTCTTTTGCTTCTTAAAAATAATCAGTCTAAAATAATCCTCATGTTAAAGAGAGACATTTTGGGGTGGCAAATCTTATTCCTCTTCAGTACATCTATGATGTTCACACAACGATGAAACCACCTAATGACAAATTTCTCAGAACGTATACCTGTTGTTAAGTGATGCTTGATTGTAGTAGTGTTTTATTACAACCAAGTGAAATCTACTCATGTGTGCTCCTAGTTACATAAGATTAGACATCTATTTTATTTTCTAGGAAGGTCTGGAGAACACAGTTGTGAGGTCTCATGCGTATTCCACAGTCCTTTCTACCAGGTGCATATTTATATCCAAACACTGTTTTTCCGTCCTCAGTGCAGGCACCATTTGCAGAGCCAGTTTAGTTCTGCATCATAGATACATGTGCCTGATGCTGGTGCTCTCTTAGGGAGCCATCCTCTTCCCCATCATTCTATGTTAAATTAGTCATCTCTTTCCTACTGTGTTTTCCTGCATTTTAAATTTCTTTCAGTTATTACAATTTATTATTTTGAATATGCTTAATGTTGGAAAATCTTTCTCCTATGAACATATAAGTGTTTTGAAAACAACCAAAAGTCAATCAGAGCTGAATCTGATAAAATATTTGGTAACTGTTTTAGTCAAAAACAAAGTATATTACAAGGTAGTAAAAAAAATTGTGTGATTCTGCGGTGATTCCAAAAGAGGAATTTTTTAATATTTTGAGCAACTTACAGCATCATTGGAATAGGGTAGATTAGGTGTGCATACTGGGAAAGATGAATGAGAGGATATGGGGTGGATGGGTGGATGGATGGATGGATGAGTGGGTGAGTGAGTGGATGGATGGATGGATGGATGGATGGATAGGGGATTGGGTGGATGGCTAAGTGGATGCGTGTGTGGACAGATGGACAGACAGACTGTATGTCTCATTTGTTTGTTTCTTTGCTTGTTTTTAAGAAAACTTCCCAACTCAGAATGAACTATCAAGTCCTGGGTTGCCTTTCCTTATCTTTGGATAATGTCTTTCACAGATTATGAAGCCCACACTTGGGTTATATTCACTTACACACTTGCCTCAAGTTTCTTCTTTGCTAAGAAACTTCCTACCTTGGAGTGAACTTATTTGACTTTCCCCAAAGAGTGCCCTATCTCTTTTCTTGTCCTCTGTTTTAGTAGATCACAATTCTTCCATGTTTATCTCAGAATAATTCTTATACAAATATTAAAATAGGATAAGAATGACAGAATTGTGTATCCATGTCCATTCAGGGATTACAATAGCTCATTATAGAGCCACCAAAAAAGGTTCATTTACAACCCTCTTTAAGACCAAAAATTCATTTATCACTCAGGGATGAATTGTGCCAGAAGCAATGAGTTTCTCTTTCAATCTGTTAATCCTTATATTTTCTCTCTGCAATAAATCACTCCATATCAGACGATATTTTGCGGTTTTTAATTATCATTCTATCAATTGATCCGTGAAAACTTTTATTGAGGAATAATGTTCAAAAGGTAAAGCTTTTTTAAATTTTCCTTCTAAGTGGGGCAGGTCATCACCAAACTGTCTTTGCCAGATGCTTAAGAATATTTAAAATTAAGCAAATTAATAAGCACATGGGTTTTCTTGATGTCCCATTAAACACAGAGTCCTATTTAACATTTTTTGAGCCTCTATAACTTACCAGACTCAAAGATTTATAAGATCTGCTCTCAAAAAACTATAAAATGGTGGCCAGCCCTATGGCCGAGTGATTAAGTTCGTGCACTGTGCCTCAGCGGCCCAGGGGGTCACTGGTTGTGATCCTGGGCACAGACATGGCACCGCTCATCAGGCCACGCTGAGGCGGCATCCAATATGCCACAACTAGAAGGATCCACAACTGAAATACACAACTAAGTACTGGGGAGCTTTGGGGAGAAGAAGGAAAAATAAAAATAAATTTAAAAAAGACTTAAAAAAAGCCTCATAAAATGATAGAGGGAGACATGTTTAAAAAAAAAAGAATTGTGATACAATGAAGTAAATTTTGTAATAGAAACTTTTACATATAGAAGTGACTAGAATGGAAAGTGGGAGAGCAGTCAGTTCCCAAAGGTATTAATGATTTAGCCAAATCTTGAAGAAAACAGAAATCTACTAGATTTGGGCCAAGATAGAAGGAAACCAATGGTGTCAAGACTCAAAGGTGTAAGAAAGCAGGATGTGGAAGCAGTGAGTGTCTCAGGGAGGTAAGGTGAAGGGAGGGGATGGGGAAATGAACTTCTGTGTCTGTCCACTGTGGGAAAACTGGGATCAGACTCACCCTGCAAACATACACAACTGGAAACTGGAGATAATATATGAAACAATGACTTTCAACAAATGGAAAACAAGCAGCACAGGGCTGCGATCCCTCAGAAAGAGGCTGCAAACTAAGTGAACACTGTCATTGCCCCAGCTTTCTGCCTGGGGACACTTCCCAGCTACAGTGCTGAAGGGGATCCTAAGAAGAGGAGAGAAGTCTTGCTGAGATGAGGAGACAGAGAGTGGAGTCTGAGCAGGCTGAGAAACTGGAACTCACGGCACAGAGTACCATAAGAAGGTTGCTATGCACACACAGTAAACCAGATTCCTATGTGTGGAGCCCCTGGAGGCTCTGGCTGAGTACTAAATCATATGTGCAGAAGATCAGACTCCACAGGTCTGAGCAAAGACTGTCCAGGGATCTGAAAGCCAAACAATTCCTAGAACTCACAGGGGGTTGGGATACATTTGAGTTCCAATGAATCAGAGAGAAAGAGTTCATGGAACATCTAGGCATTCAACTGAGACCTCAGAAGAGTCGCACCAGGGAAGGAAGGCTGACCCAGTCCCAGAAGAAAGGCTAAAAGCTTTTAAAATAGAGATCAAAAGGGTCAAACTGATCCACAAGTAACTCAACTGCCTGCCAGCACAAAGGCCCCACTCTTTAAGACAACAAAATCTAGGCACACACAACATACATTCACAATGTCTAGCATCCAATTTAAAAATTACTAGAAACTACTAAAACACCAAGGAAAAAAAACTAACAAAATGGCAATAAATACATATTTATCAATAGCTACTTTAAACGTCAATGGACTAAATGCTCCAATAAAATGCCATAGGGTGGCCAATTGGATAAAAAACAAGACCCATGTATATGCTGCATACAAGAGACACACTTCAGACCTAAAGACACTCACAAACTGAAAGTGAAAGGATGGAAAAAGATATTCCATGCAAATGGTAAAGAAAAGAAAGCAGGGGTAGCAATACCCATATCTGACAAAATAGACTTTAAAACAAAAACTGTAACAAGAGACAAAGACAGGCACTACATAATGATAAAGGGAACAATCCAACAAGAAAACATAACACTTGTAAATATCTATGCACGCAACATAGGAGCACCTAAATATATAAAGCAATTATTAACAGACATGAAAGGAGAAATAGACAGTAACACAATAATAGTAGGGGACTTTAACACTCCCCATACAGCAATGGATAGATCATCCAAACAGAAGATCAATACGGAAACATTGGCCTTATAGGACACATTAGACCAGATGGACTTAGTGGGTATATATAGAACATTCCTTCCAAAAACCACAGAATACACATTCTTTTCAAACGCACATGGAACATTCTCCAGGATTGATCACATATTAGGACACAAAACAAGTTTCAATAAATTTAAGAAGATCGAAATAATACCATGCATCTTTTCTGACCACAAAGGTACGAAACTAGAAATCAACTACAGGAAGAAAACCAGAAAAGCCACAAAAATGTGGAGGTTAAACAAAATGCTACTGAACAATGATTGGGTCAATTAAGAAATCAAAGGAGAAATCAAAAAGTCCTGGAGACAAATGAAAATGAAAATAAGACATGCCAAAATCTGTGAGATACAGCAAAAGTGGTTCTAAGAGGGAAGTTAATAGCAATTCAGGCCTACCTCAACAAAGAAGGAAAATCCCAAATAGACAATCTAAAAGCACATCTAAAGCTACTGGAAAAAGAACAACAAACAAAGCCCAAAATCAGCAGAAGGAAATAATAAAAATCAGAGCACAAATAAATGAAATAGAGACTTAAAAAACAATAGAAAAAATTAATGAAACAAAGAGCTGGTTCTTTGAAAAGATAAACAAAATTGACAAACCCTTAGCTAGACTCACCAAGAAAAAAAGAGAGAAGGCTCAAATAAATAAAGTCAGAAATGAAAGAGGAGAGATTACAATGGACACCTCAGAAATACAAAAGATAATAAGAGAATACTATGAAAAGCTATACGCCAACAAATTGGATAATCTAGAAGAAATTGATAAATTCTTAGAAACATACAAGCTTCCAAATCTGACCAAAAAGAAGTAGAAAATTTGAATAGACTGATCACCAGTATACTAGGACATCAAAACAGCAATCAAAAATCTCCCAAAAAATAAAAGTTCAGGA